AGCAAATTTGTTATATTATTAGATTATTATATTCCACGTACAAATGATAAAGTTACCTGTTAGAACAGTGAGTGAGGTAGTGGTATGCGGTGTATTTGGGGTTAGGTCGGTGGTGGTATATGGTTGTATTTGGGGTGAGGTCGATAGTGGTATGTGGTTGTATTTTGGGTGAGGTCGGTGGTGGTATATGGTTGTATTTGGGGTGAAGTCGATGGTGGTATGCGGTTGTATTTGGGATGAAGTCGGTGGAGGTATGCTGTTGTATTTGGGATGAAGTCGGTGGAGGTATGCTGTTGTATTTGGGATGAAGTCGGTGGAGGTATGCTGTTGTATTTGGGATGAATTCGGTGGAGGTATGCTGTTGTATTTTGGATGAATTCGGTGGAGGTATGCTGTTGTATTTGGGATGAAGTCGGTGGAGGTATGCTGTTGTATTTGGGATGAAGTCGGTGGAGGTATGCTATTGTATTTGGGTTTAGGTCGGGGGATGTTGCTGGAATTATGCTAAAGCGTCTTAAAACCATACTCACTCACTCACTATTGAAAAGTCGAACCGAAATGAAACATTTGTTGATCGTGTGTCATTTTTTTACCGCTCCATTTTGAGCATATCGAAGCAAATTTGTGGTATGCGAAGGTATCTGGGATGAGGTCGGTGGTGGTATGTGGTTGTATTTGAGGTGAGGTCGATAGTGGTATGTGGTTGTATCTTGGATGAGGTCGGTGGTGGTTTGTGGTTGTATTTCGGGTGAGGTCGGTGGTGGTATGTGGTTGTATCTTGGATGAGGTCGGTGGTGGTTTATGGTTGTATTTGGGGTGAGGTCGATAGTGGTTTGTGGTTGTATTTGGGGTGAGATCGATAGTGGTTTATGGTTGTATTTGGGGTGAGGTCGATAGTGGTATGTGGTTGTATTTGGGGTGAGGTCGGTGGTGGTATATGGTTGTATTTGGGGTGAGGTCGATAGTGGTATGTAGTTGTATTTTGGGTGAGGTCGGTGGTGGTATATGGTCGTATTTGGGGTGAGGTCGGTGGTGGTATATGGTTGTATTTGGGGTGAGGTCGGTGGTGGTATGTGGTTGTATTTGGGGTGAGGTCGGTGGTGGTATGTGGTGGTATTTTGGTTGAGGTCGGTGGTGGTATATGGTTGTATTTGGGGTGAGGTCGGTGGTGGTATGTGGTTGTATTTGGGGTGAGGTCGGTGGTGGTATATGGTTGTATTTGGGGTGAGGTCGATAGTGGTGTGTGGTTGTATTTTGGGTGAGGTCGGTGGTGGTATATGGTTGTATTTGGGGTGAGGTCGATAGTGGTATGTGGTTGTATCTTGGATGAGGTCGGTGGTGGTATGTGGTTGTATCTTGGATGAGGTCGGTGGTGGTTTGTGATTGTATTGGGGGTGAGGTCGATAGTGGTTTGTGGTTGTATTTGGGGTGAGGTCGGTGGTGGTATGTGGTTGTATTTTGGATGAGGTCGGTCGTGGTATGTGGTTGTATCTTGGATGAGGTCGGTGGTGGTTTGTGGTTGTATTTGGGGTGAGGTCGATAGTGGTTTGTGGTTGTATTTGGGGTGAGGTCGTTGGTGGTATATGGTTGTATTTTGGATGAGGTCGGTGGTGGTATATGGTTGTATTTGGGGTGAGGTCGGTGGTGGTATGTGGTTGTATCTTGGATGAGGTCGGTGGTGGTATGTGGTTGTATTTGGGGTGAGGTCGGTGGTGGTATGTGGTTGTATTTGGGATGAGGTCGGTGGTGGTATGTGGTTGTATTTGGGGTGAGGTCGGTGGTGGTATGTGGTTGTATTTGGGGTGAGGTCGGTGGTGGTATGTGGTTGTATTTGGGGTGAGGTCGATAGTGGTATGTGGTTGTATTTTGGGTGAGGTCGGTGGTGGTATATGGTTCTATTTGGGGTGAGGTCGGTGGTGGTATGTGGTTGTATCTTGGATGAGGTCGGTGGTGGTTTGTGGTTGTATTTGGGGTGAGGTCGATAGTGGTTTGTGGTTGTATTTGGGGTGAGGTCGGTGGTGGTTTATGGTTGTATTTGGGGTGAGGTCGGTATGTGGTTGTATTTGGGGTTAGGTCGGTGGTGGTATATGGTTGTATTTGGGGTGAGGTCGATAGTGGTATGTGGTTGTATTTTAGGTGAGGTCGGTGGTGGTATATGGTTGTATTTGGGGTGAGGTCGGTGGTGGTATGTGGTTGTATCTTGGATTAGGTCGGTGGTGGTATGTGGTTGTATTTTGGGTGAGGTCGGTGGTGGTATGTGGTTGTATGTTGGATGAGGTCTATAGTGGTTTGTGGTTGTATTGGGGGTGAGGTCGGTGGTGGTATGTGGTTGTATTTGGGGTGAGGTCGGTGGTGGTATGTGGTTGCATCTGGGATGAGATTGTGGAGGAATGATGCATTATTTAGGATGAGGTGGGCGGGTTGTGTATGCGGTGGTATTTGGGATAAAGGTGGATGTTGCTATGCAGGGATATCTGGGATGAATTTTATATCTTGCTTCATTTGAGAACAAGAATGTCTACTGGGTTCTTTGATTAATGATCATCTACAACATCGCGTCTAACACTGCACCGTTTTGTTGACGAGACTCCACGCTTTAAACCAATTCCTAGTCATTGCTATAGTTATGCCTAAGAGATTGTTATTGTTACAGTCATACCTAAGTCACTGTTACAGCCATACCTAAGTTATTGCAACAGTCATGATTATGTCATTGTTACAGTCATGCCCAAGTCCTTGCTACAGTCATGATGACGTCATTGTTACAGTCATGCCTAAGTCCTTGCTACAGTTATGATGACGTCAATGTTACAGTCATGACTAAGTAATGGCTACAGTCATGATGACGTCATGGTTACAGTCATCATAAGTAATGACTACAGTCATGCCTAAGTCATTGCTACAGTCATGACTAAGTAATGTTTTCAGTCATGACTAAGTGATTGCTACAGTCATCATGACGTTATTGTTACAGTCATCATAAGTAATGACTACAGTCATACCTAAGTCATTGCTACAGTCATGACTAAGTAATGTTTTCAGTCATGACTAAGTGATTGCTACAATCATGCCTAAGTCATTGTTACACTCATGACTAAGTCCTTGCTACAGTCCTTGTTACAGTCATGACTAAATACTGGCTACAGTCATGATGACGTCATTGTTACAGTCATGATGATGTCATTGTAACAGTCATGACTAAGTCCTTGCTACAGTCATGATTACGTCATTGTTACAGTCATGACTAAGTGATTGCTACAATCATGCCTTAGTCATTGCTACAGTCATGACTACGTAATGGCTGCAGTCACGCCTAAGTCATTGTTACAGTCATGACTAAGTCCTTACTACAGTCCTTGTTACAGTCATGACTAAATCCTGGCTACAGTCATCATGACGTCCTTGCTACAGTCATGACTAAGTCCTTGCTACAGTCATGATGGCGTCATTGTTACAGCCATGACTAAGTGATTGCTACAATCATGCCTAAGTCATCGCTACAGTCATGACTACGTTATGGCTACAGTCACGCCTAAGTCATTGCTACAGTTATGCCTAAGTGGTTCTTACATCCATGCCTCAGTTTTGCTGTCATACCTAAGTCATTGTTACAGTCATGCCTAAGGAATGGCTAAAGCCATAAACAATGTTGGAAAATCGGATGTCAGCTGAAAGAAAGATACAAGGTATACACTGTTCAAGCATCTATTTTTTCAATATCTATTTTAGCCGGGTTGTTGCATGACGTCACACAGCTTGGAATGACGTTCAACACAACCAGATCCTATAACGTTGTCAACGTTACGTCACTGAGGTCGCTTGACCTGCGATCACAGCTGAAGCAGTTCTATCTGGCGGAGACCTCCTCGCATAACTTTGTACTCTTTTGTAGCGAGGAATGCGTCGCTGCTGTCATTCACGAGGTAAGGCCTCTCTTTGATTCAAACTTAGCATCTCACTGATTCAAACCTAGCCTCTCACTGACTCATCCACCCTCTTGTCAGCAGTGGGGCACGGATGGCCCAATAGTCTAAGGCGCCGCAATTAGCAGTTCAGAGTTGCCTCCCATGAGAAATCCCAGTTCACCCAGGTTATGATTCTTGGTTTGTCAGCACCACACCTGAGCTCGTAGGTTTCACCAAAGTGGTAAACGTCTGAGACCTGCACCACTTCGGGCTTTCGTCCCAACTGACACGCCGTGGAATACCTGTAATACTGTTAAAAGCGGCGTTAAACCCAACTCACTCAATGACATACTCTTGTCATCAGCACGGGGCTAATACAATAGTAGTACAATAGTTTAAACATCATTGTACATTGTACATATTATTGCAATACTTGTGACTGCATGATATGACGCTTTACCTTTGTCACAATGCATTTCAAACCAACGGTGTCGTGGTGCCTTAGACCCTTGGCCACCCGTGTCCAAATGTGTAACAAGATTTAGAAAAAGGTATTACTATTGTTCCGGTTAGGAAAAAGCAGAAGCTCATTGGCTGGACCTGGTATCTATGAAAGCCTAATGATGCCACTTTTTTAAAATCGAAAATTCGCGTTATTTCACTTATTTGTCTATTTTCTCGAAATTTCGAGTATTTTCTCGTTACTTCTGTTGTCTTTTCGTAATACCAAACGATTTCGAGGAAATAGTTGAAATAACGAGAAATTTTTTTCGAAGCAACGAGAAAATAATCAAAATAACGAGAACATAATTGAAATAACGAGAAAATAATCTAGGCGACGAGAAAAAAAATCGATATTTCGAGTTTTTGAGATAAACTTGAAATAACGAGAAAATATTCCAAGTAAAGAGAAAAACTCATTTCTTCGAGAAAATAATTGAAATACCGAGAAAATAATCGAAGTAACGAGAGAAAAAAAATAATTTCGAGAAAATAATTGAAATAACGAGAAAATAATCTAAAAGTAACGTGAAAAAGACCTCGCAGTAACGAGAAAGAACTAGAAATTTCGATTAAATACAAAACAAATAATTGTTACCAAAGTGGCACCATGAGGCTCTCGTAGGTATCGGCTTGGTGTATGCATTTGATGAATTGTTTCCCAAAGGCGAACTTCCTCGACTCTTACACCGATCGCTACACCTACATGCGACATCATTCACGGTGGCTCGTGGCGGGATCACGTGACACAAAAGACCGTTTACCTGATTTCGGCGAGGGACTTGACAACATCGCAATATTGTCGGACCCCGAATGTAGCGAGGACCCAGACGTCGGTGTTAAAGCTAACAGCACCTCGGAGGTAGGTTCACCATTTCCGTGTATCACATTATCTGTGTAGGGGGCAATATTGGAGCTCGGCCCAGTCGTCTATGACCCTGCGATTCGATGTGCAGAGTTGCGTCCCTTTTTACGTGCGAGTTTCGTCTAAGACCTGCATCACTTTTGGCTTTCCTTCCACAAGAAGCTGCCGTCCTGTGATTTAACTACAAGAAAACATTGATGCAAAGCATCAAAGTTCCCCGCCATATGTGATGCCTCAAAAACGCATAATTATGATATTACTGAAAGGCATGAAGGAGCATAATTATATTAACAACAAATAACACAACGCTGTTGTGGAAATCTTTTTTAATTTATTTTGAGTATTGGGCAATAGAGTTGATACAATTGCATAGGGTAGGTCTATTTAAAATTAGTTTCTTGTTTAACGCCGCACTCAGCAGTATTCAAGCCATATGACGGCGGTCTGTAAATAATCCAGTCTGGACCAGATCATCCAGTGATCGACACCAAGAGCATCGAACTATGCAACTGGAATATGATGTTATGCATCGACCAAATCGGCGAGCCTGACTACCCAATCCTGTTCGACGCCTCTTACGGCAGGCATGGGTTGCTGAAGACCTATTCTAACCTGGGTCTTTATTTAAAAAGTAGATCGAAGGAAGTGGAAGCAATTTCTGGCAAAAATGTAAACATGTGGAAATGGTATCAAAACTGCCAACAACATTGGCAGATGCACATACTCAAATAATAGATCACATTCTTTTTACACTTGGCATTTGGTTATAATAATGTAAACGAAAATACTAAGGGCTCCATATGGCAAAAAAGTCATACTAGATAAGGTCTTTTTGTCACAACCACAGATGTGCATACTCAAAATATTATCACGTAGTTGGAGAACATTTCAATACCGGGACTAATCAATAACGGAGATTCCTCGTCTCTTGTATTACTTTTTTTGGTCAGTTTCTTTTTTGTATTTCTTTCTTTCAAAGAATAGTAATTGTGATCATGATGAGTTGAGTTACTTGGTTTTTTTCTATGTACTGTTTTTTTATCCAGTGTCAGTAACTGTTGTGGAATGTGGTTTACTTGTAACAATGACTGGTTTGAGTTCATATGATGATGATTGATTGGTTTGTCGTTTAACGGTGCACTCAGCAATATTCCAGCTATATGACGGCGGTCTGTAAATAATCGAGTCTGGATCAGACAATCCAGTGCTTATTATCATGAGCATCGATTCACGCAATTGGGATCGATGCAATGCATCAACCAAGCCTGACTATCCGATCCCGTTTGTCGCCTCTTACGACAAGCATAGTCGCCTGATATACTGTTAAGATGTAACATAACAATTCATCCATACTACTAAACTGAAGTAAACCCGCTCCATTCGGATCAGTCTGACCCAAACCATTCCGCTGATGAGAGTCAAATAATGCATACGAATCAAAATCCGTAAAAATGGAGACATCATTAAAAGTTACCAAAAGTGACGGGGATATCAATATTGATTGTTTAAATGATCCTATGAAATTTGCGTCAATATTTTGAACACCTGTGACGGGGCCATAAAACTGATCTGTTATGTAGACAATATCGCTTGAGGCAGTGGCAGCTGGGAGCTGATTATGACCTAAATACCCCCCATAGCCTTCGGTGTTAACTATGTGACTGTAGAGAGCTGTGCCTTCATCCAACAGATTATCGAGGTCAGTGGAACACGGTACAGACGCAAATAGATTTGAGTCATGGGGCACAAAATATATGAGTGACCAGAGCTACGGCTTGTACATTGAATTCCATTAAACGGTTGAATAATACTACAGCCTTGATGCAAATTCGCCGACACACTACTCCGATTTTGCTTTGACTTTGCTACCAAACGTGTCACATGTGGCTGTGTGCGGTGCACTGATTAAAAAAACACGGGGGACTGGGTTAATTCAAAATTCGGAATATAACTATTCCAAATATTTCCAGTGAACATAAGCATCCAAACAATCAAAAGTGTAGTATGTCGAATGTGGATTTCAGCCATATTACATTTAAATTGAGATGTCGTCGTTGTTCATGAATAGGCATATTCAGAACATATTTTATATTATATGCTGTTATTTACGATCTCCGGAGTACAGTTCTTCTTTTGTATACACCGTGAAAATGAGAAAATTAGTCCTTGAGGAAAAAAGGACATCGGATTACACATGGATGGTTTAATAATGTCAGCTAATGACCAGAAACGGTCGGATGTATCAATTAACTACATAAAGACGATTTTGAAGTATCTCTTATTGCTGGAAAAGAATAGCATCAACATTCCACGCACATGATTTGTATGTTTTGTTTCCGTAAATGCGTGGCTTGAAATTTCAAATAAACCAACATGTCGACATACATACTACAAAATTAACGTTTCCCGTATACTTCCCCGCCTTCAGGGCGGGGAAGAATGATGAAATACTCTTCAAAACCGTGTTAAACCTAATATAATCACGCACTGGAAGTATTTTCTGGGTCTTTTTCTATGGTTACTTAATATAAGTCGTACCATAACACAATCGTTCGTGGAATCGCTATTATTGTTGAGAACTATCCTATGCCTGATCAGTTACGCTAAAATATGGCATAAGAACAAGCTTTTTTTTGTTTATTTGTTTAACGCCGCACTCACCAATATGCCAGCGGTCTGTAAATAATCTAGCCAGGACCAGACAATCCAGTGACTGACATCAGGAGCATCGATGTACGCAATCTGGATACGATGACTCCCATCCACATGTGTCATGATCAACCAAGTCAGCGAGTCTGACAACCCGATCCCATTAGTCGCCTCTTACGACAAGCATAACCTCCTTTCACGGCAAGCATGGGTTGCTGGAGACCTATTCTAACCCGGATCTTCACGGGTCCCAAAAGAACAAGTAGAGAAATGGATGCTGTCTTTTTTAAACAATTTTATTTAAACTTTTCGGTGTACATTCTAACACCAGGGAAACTATACAAAGAATATATAGACTCCATTTGAGGGCTTTGCTGATGACAGATTACACTCTAATGCAAGAGAAAAAAACCCCTTTAAAATGAATCAATTTATCAATTAATCAATTAACAATACAAACACTATAATTCCGGCAATGAACTTCTTAAACAATGATTACCTTTTAACAACATGTTTTGTGTGGAGTAAATAAAATAAATAGTAAATAAAATGTCTTTGTATAGTCTCCCTGATAAATGTCTTGTAATGAATATGTGCATGTAATAATCTGAGGTTTTTTCCATGCAGACCACTGAAGGAAGCGTTTGCCTGGAGTTATCGACCCTGCTGAGGAGCCCCGAGGGCCGTGTGTGGAGCACAGTGTGTTACCTTGACTCCGGCGCCAGCCGGGCTGTTCAGGGGACGGTCTTCCCAAACATCATGTTTGGCTACAACCAGCGCCAGTTTCTTGTCACCACCAAAACCGTAAGAATGACATATTGATACAAATTTGTATACGACAAAACTATATGTCTACTGTTTAAGGATCAAATAATAACTTGTACGTATTCAATAACAAAACTAGTGTATGTTTCAAACACGTACCTGCCCTCTCCATGCAACTCGCGGATTTCCTTCAACATTCAAGCTGACACGCCGTGATGTACTGAAATACTGTTCAAAGCTAACACCTACGGAGTGGTCCAGTTGGCTAAGGCGCCACGATTCGCTGTGCAGAGTTGCGTCCCATGGGCACGCAAGAAATCTATGATTTTGGGTCGAACCCCGGTTCGCCCCGATTATGTTTTTAGGTTTGTCAGCACCATACCCGTGCTCGTGGGTTCGAAGTGGTAAACGTCTGAGACCTGCATCACTTCGAGCTTTCCTCCCACATTAAGCTGACACGCCGTGATATAACTGGAATACTGTTAAAAGCGGCGTTAAATCCAACTCATTCACTCACACATACAACTCGCCCGGATTATAATCCTGTCAGTACCAATACCATGCTCTTTGGCTTATGAGACGTCAGCTGACATTCCCTGCTGACACTGGAATAACCGTTCAAGGCGCTTGTAACTCAACTGGCTCACTCATACAACGCGCCCGCAATATGATTCTTATTCTGTCAGATGTGTTATGTAACACCATATTGTTTGTTTGTTTAGTGTTTAACCCCGCAATCAGAAATATTCTAGCTATATGACGGCGGTCTAACAAGAGTCTGGACCAGACAATCAAGTAATTGATATGAGCATCGATCCACGCAATTGGGATACGATGACTTGCATCAACCAAGTCAGTCAGCCTAGTTAATCTCATTAGTCGCTCCTTACGACAAACATGGGTTGCTGAAGACCTATCATAAACATCTCACAATGTCACTCTGTCATAAATATAATTTGGGTTCGACATTTCTCGTGTAAACCCGTAAAGGAGTTATTCTCCCAGTATGCCCGGGTAAGCGGGCATCCAGCTTAAGTATGCCCGGGTAAGCGGGCATTCCAGCTTAAGTATGCCCAGGTAAGCGGGCATTCCAGCTTAAGTATGCCCAGGTAAGCGGGCATTCCAGCTTAAGTATGCCCGGGTAAGCGATTATTCCAGCTTAAGTATGCCAGGATAAGCGAGTATTCCAGCTTAAGTATGCCAGGATAAGCGGGCATTCCAGCTTAAGTATGCCCGGGTAAGCGGGCATTCCAGCTTAAGTATGCCCGGGTAAGCGGGCGTCCTATCTTAAGGATGCCCAGGTAAGCGGGCATTCAAGCTTAAGTATGCCCGGGTAAGCAGGCATTCCAGCTTAAATATGCCCGGGTAAGCGGGCATTCCAGCTTAAGTATGCCCGGTTAAGCGGGCATTCTAGCTTAAGTATGCCCAGGTAAGCAGGCATTCCAGCTTAAGTATGTCCGGGTAAGCGGGCATTCCAGCTTATGTATGCCCGGGTAAGCAGGCATTCCAGCTTAAGTATGCCCAGGTAAGCAGGCATTCCAGCTTAAGTATGCCCAGGTAAGCAGGCATTCCAGCTTAAGTATGCCCAGGTAAGCAGGCATTCCAGCTTAAGTATGTCCGGGTAAGCAGGCATTCCAGCTTAAGTATGCCAAGGTAAGCAGGCATTCCAGCTTAAGTATGCCCAGGTAAGCGGGCATTCCAGCTTAAGTATGCCCGGGTAAGCGGGCATTCCAGCTTAAGTATGCCCGGGTAAGCGGGCATTCCAGCTTAAGTATGCCCAGATAAGCAGGCATTCCGTGAAAACTTGCTTCTAACCGGGTCCTGACGGGCTTATTCTGTCAGAACCGTTACCGCGCTCGTTCATTCACTTTGAGTTTTATGAAGCTGCCATTTCATGCTTTAACGGAAAAAAATGTTCAAAGCGGCGTTACATCCCTAAACGCCACCCCTCCTATATACAACGTATGGTCGATATAAAAGTGGTTATAAAGTAAACATAAGCTATATATATAAGTTATATATGTGATATATTAGTATCATATTAAAAATAAAATAATAATTAAAACATAACCTTAAAACAAACAAACAAAATGCAGCAAAAAATCATTTATGGGAACCACTGTTCAATAAATAATAAAACTGGGTATATTATGCATTCGGAACACAAGCGAGAAAAGGGAAACAAATTAAATCTCGGATTTTTAATACAGTATTATTTTTTAAATTCTTGTTCAAAATAGTGACTTTTTCAAGTCGTCTCCATCCCCTCCTCTAGTTGATAACAACGTCTCTAGTGGGATTTAATGATCAGCGCTGAAACAATGTCGATGCACCATCTTGTCTGAAACTCTTCGCGCAGATAAAGGGAGGCAACTTGGTTGAGCTTGTTAAACATTCGTGACCAACTCGTGTTATTCCGGGACAAACCGTCTTCTTGCAGGTTACGGAAAGGGGCGAGTGGTGACGAATGCTTGTTAAATACAATATTCATCGCATGTCTGAAGGGTGGTACTGAAAGTGGGACCCGTGAAACAAATAATGTTTCTTCTACCAAGCACAAACGCACTTTTTTGTGTAAATTGTATTTTGTGTATATCGCTTATCTGGGAATGTTTTTTCATCCCACAACATACAAATGTAGTAATTGCAGGTGGAGAGAAATGAACAATACTATTCATTTATTACTCGTATCTGTACGCTTAGTTTATTTGGAGGTCTGTCAGTTACAGGCCGGTTTAATAACATGGCCTAAACGCTCTTATTTTTCAAATGAAATTTTGCGAGATTTTCGAATATTTATGATTTAAATATTTTGAGGGGTAAAGCAAATATATTAAATGTGTCCATCAATCTACACATTTCCTTGCAAAAGTTGACACTGAGAACAGACTTTTACATGGCCAAAGAGCCACTCCCGTAACAGAAACCTAGTTATCCCGGAAACCCAGCTTTAATGGGCAAGATGGAAATTTATACTTCCTGGATGGACTTTGAAATGGTTACGAAATGTCCCAAAGCGACAATTCACCCCGATGTGTTTGGTGCGACTATAGTAGTGGTGAAACATTTCAGCTATTTGACATTGATCTGTAATTAATCGAGTCTCGACCAGACAGCCCAGTGGCTGACATCATGAGCATCGATCTATGCAATTGGTATGCGATGACATGCATCAAGCAAGTTGACCACCTGATCCCGTTACTCGCCTCTTATAATGACAAGTATAGTCACCTCCTACGGCAAGCATGGATTGCTAAGGACCCATTGTAACCCGGATCTTCATGGGTCTGAAACATGCATACATCCCGCATGTCAATACAAGTATTCACAACCAATTTCGATAAGACATAAATACACGTTTGTATTGTAAGACATCTAATAACTTGGTTTACTGGTTGTTTTGGAAATCAAACAAATGTCAGTTCACAATGTGGAAAAATTAAAGCTAAAATTGAATTGTTTGACATCAAAGCAATCTTTCTTTCAACAAATTAAATGAATATATGCATGAACCCTTACAATATGATTTAATTTGAAAGGATCTACTGTTAACCAGCAATAAATAAACGTCTGTTCTTAGAATTGCTATTTCATTCTACTTCTGTGATGTCGTAGGACGGCTAATCCGTTCACAGAATAAGAAATATATGTACATAGCTCCTATTAAATCAATACCAAACGGTTTTCAAGAAAGCGCTCCAAGCCTGGTCTTCAACGCAAAGGGAAGTCATCAGGCAATGCGAACGCTCTGAGCGCGATGAAAGATATGTTATAGATTTTATCTTTTGATCTTGTCGTTATCGAAATGTACGTCAATGACCTGAATTGGGGTACACGCGGGTATTGTAACTGTTACAGCACGTCAATGAGTTAAATATTTACAGCACCCGTTCAAATACGCCTTTGATAAGTACATACTTTGATGATGTGACAAATCATTTTGGTTCGTCAAAGTACGTGCCTGCTGGTCTCATTACCGGATACGTACAAAATCGTGACCTGCTTTTCCAATTGTTTCCGTTATTCAAATATTTGATCCCGTCGACAGGGGATTGATCATGATTTATCCGTTATTTTCGGACACCAGTGTGTGGAGTGACATTGTTAGACATTTCAACTTCAATCAAGAAGTTTCGTATTTATGTTTTGGTTTTATTTGAAAAGTATTGTCACCATGTCGTCCGAATGTTGACTGCTAATATTTGATTATTGGAAAACGGTCGTCTTCCCTAGACGGGGTAATTGGAGGCTGACAACCATTAACTTTGTTTGAGATATAAATGGTATAATATTTAGAAACTTCGATTATGTAAACGGTAAAACAGGGAACATAAATTTATATTCAGGCAATATGCCAACGGCTTTTAACTATACTGAATAAAACAGTTAGGGATCATGAATATTTTGGGGATACTTTTGTACGGTGAAGACTGAGGACACAATTTCATTAAAATATGTTCCAAAATGTTCATGATCCCTAACCTTTTTTGTTCGGTATATATGTAGGTGAATCTGGGGGTAGTTTCACCGCCGCTCCAGAAAACCTCAACAGCATATTGATACAACTGAAATCCTGATGTGATTGTAATCTGTTGTCAGGAGTACATTGTCACTATACTCGATTGTCAGGAATACATTGTCACTGTACTTGATTGTCAGGAGTACATTGTCACTGTACTCGATTGTCAGGAGTACATTGTCACTGTACTCGATTGTCAGGAGTATAATGTCACTGTACTCGATTGTCAGGAGTACATTGTCACTGTACTCGATTGTCAGGAGTACAATGTCACTGTACTCGATTGTCGGGAGTATAATGTCACTGTACTCGATTGTCAGGAGTACATTGTCACTGTACTCGATTGTCAGGAGTACAATGTCACTGTACTCGATTGTCAGGAGTATAATGTCACTGTACTCGATTGTCAGGAGTACATTGTCACTGTACTCGATTGTCAGGAGTACATTGTCACTGTACTCGATTGTCAGGTGTGCATTGTCACTGTAATCTGTTGTCAGGAGTGCATTGTCACTGTAATCTGTTGTCAGGAGTACATCGTTACTGTAATCTGTTGTCAGGAGTATTTTGTCACTGTAATCTGTTGTCCGGAGTATAATGTCACTGTAACTTGTTGTCCGGAGTATATTGTCACTGTAATCTGTTGTCAGGAGTATATTGTCACGGTAATCTGTTGTCAGGAGTATATTGTCACTGTAATATGTTGTCTGGAGTATAATGTCACTGTAATCTGTTGTTCGGAGTATAATGTTACTGTAACTTGTTGTCCGGAGTATATTGTCACTGTAATCTGTTGTCTGGAGTATAATGTCACTGTAATCTGTTGTCCGGAGTATGATGTCACTGTAACTTGTTGTCCGGAGTATATTGTCACTGTAATCTGTTGTCCGGAGTATAATGTCACTGTAATCTGTTGTCCGGAGTATAATGTCACTGTAATCTGTTGTCAGGAGTATAATGTCACTGTAATATGTTGTCAGGGGGTATATTGTCACTGTAATCTGTTGTCCGGAGTATACTGTCACTGTAATCTGTTGTGCGGAGTATAATGTCACAGTAATCTGTTGTCTGGAGTATTTTGTCACTGTAATCTGTTGTCCGGAGTATAATGTCACTGTAACTTGTTGTCAGGAGTAAAATGTCACTGTAATCTGTTGTCAGGAGTATAACGTCACTGTAATCTGTTGTCAGGAGAACATCGTTACTGTAATCTGGTGTGGGGAGTATATTGTCACTGTAATTTGTTGTCAGGATTATATTGTCACTGTAATCTGTTGTCAGGAGAACATCGTTACTGTAATCTGGTGTGGGGAGTATATTGTCACTGTAATCTGTTGTCAGGATTATTTTGTCACTGTAGTCTGTTGTGAGGACTACAAAGTTTAAATTTGATAAAAATTGAAACTTACATACAGGAAACAAATACAGGAAAGAATCACTGAGTACTGTCAAGTTGTCACAAAATACACCTAGAAAGTGTGGTAGTAGAACCTTAGCACTACCAACTGAAGTCAATTGATAATCACGTCATAACCTCCCAAAATGATATTTTTTTAACAATTCCCAAATATGCATATGCAATGTTAACCCGATAAGACTAAATGATAATCTGAACACGTTCTCAATTAACCAGTGTATTATATATTCATTCTGCTATGATAATACCCTGGACCTATTTTCCACCACAGGTCGTTTCGGAAGTGACGTTACCATTTCCATCTGTCCTATCCCTATCTTTGCACATATATTCTCTCGCCCATGAGTGTAATTTGATTGGATGGCTATTCGTGCCATTTGAATCGGGCTATTTATCAGGGTATTTATCATAATGTAATGAAGTTATACTACCCTGGATAATCGAGGATGAGTATATTTTTCCCCAGTGGCTTGGCTTCGTCCGGAAACATACTGACAGCAACGAACCAACCTTTGATGGCTTCTGTATCGAAGTGCTCAATCAACTGGCGCATATTCTCAACTTCACGTAAGTATAAATTTGGAAATGAATTGATAAGATTTATCATTCCATTAGTTACACCTTGATATAGTACGTGCAAGAAAGAAACAGCCCTAGTGGCTGGCAATCACTATGTAGCTGATAAATCTGTGGGTGAATGTTGTACAACGCCGCAGTCAGCAATATTCCCGTATAATCATGAGCAACCCTGTATAAGTTAAAAAAGGAAAGAAAACCAGAAAATATTCAAGTAAATCTTGATCATGAAAGCGGTTGATGAAAACTTTAGCAAAGACCTGAGACATCGGGCCACGCTTCGTCATCACATTTATTTGCCTCTTGTGTGATAGGGACCCACTCTAAGCTGGGTCCCAAAGGCTTCATGTAGCCGATGAAAGGAAAGTGATTGTAATGCTACCAATATATTGATATTGACGTTAAAACAAGAACACTGAATAGAATTTGTCTACTTTCAACATGTTAGGTGATGCTAAAACATGTTTTACCAGGTACGTTTTGATAGAGCCAGGCGACAACGAATGGGGTTCAAAGGCAAACGGGCGATGGAGTGGTATTGTTGGACAACTCCAACGAAGGGTAAGGAATACGTCTTGTAGGGGCATATCGAGTGAGTGTGAGATTACGGAAGCTAAATGATGGTGGGGACACAAAGAATAGGATCCGCATATTGTACCCATGTAGGGAATCGAACCCAGGACTTCAGGGGTGGTCGGGTAGCCGAGTGGTTAAAGCGTTCGCTCGTCACGCCGAAGACCCGGTTCGATTCCCTACATGGGTACAATGTGTGAAGCCCATTTCTGGTGTCCCCCGCCTTGAAATTGCTAGAATATTGCTAAAAGTGGCGTAAAACCATATTCACTCACTTACTCAGCGTAACGAGCGAACCACAAGGCTACTCCACTCCATGTGGCATTTCAGAGCCAGTCAGTTTGTAGTAAAAAGGTCACCAAAATATCCCACTTAAATCCGCTTTTCGGCAATTTGGTAAAAATCCATAATATTGCTTAGTAGGGTATTTTCTTACAAATACAGCTCAAATACATTAGGCTGGTACTTTTGATTTCTTTTAATATGAAATCTTTGTGGCATTAATAACATTTGTGAACACTATAGGACACATCTATCATAAAGAAAAAAACCAACCTATTTAAATATCTATATTAAAATTGAAAATTGAAGTGATGAAGTATAACATGAATACTATATTTATAAATAATGTATACTTATTTGTGATGTGCTTTTATCTAAGAATTGTTGATTTTTATTTCCACTCTATTTCTATCAGAAGGGGATTATAACATACGGTTACAACACCACTCCATTAGCAACCGTGAAACTCCATCCATACAAATAATATGCAATCAGAGCAACAACAACAAACAGATAAAATTAATCTGCAATATTTCCTGAAACAGGAAGTCGACTTTGCAATGGCATCTCTCAGTCGGAACTCAGATCGGGACGCCGTGGTGGACTTCGTGGAGACCCCATTCTTCAGAGACTACAAGGACATCATGTACCGGAAGTCCAACAGCACGAAGAACTGGCGCCTGTTGTTGGACATCTTTAGACCTACTGTTCTGTTGTGTATCGGCGTGGCTCTGGTGGTGTACACATCTCTGTATCTCCTGCTGCAGCTCGGGCCCAGGGAACGCCGGGAGGAGAGAACTTGCGTCTACATATCCAACGTCAGCTGCTATATTTACGGGGCTCTCTTCAGCCAAGGTATATATTCTTTTAATTACTCGTCTACAAGGTTTAGAGTGAGTGGGGATGGTTTCACGCCGCCTTTTGCAATATTCCAGCATTATCAATGCGGGAGACACCAGAAATGGGCTTCACAGAGTGTACCCATGTGGCGAATCGAACACGAGTCTTCGGCGTGACAGGCGAACGCTTTAACCACTAGGCTACACCATTGCCTCTACAGGATTTAGGGCAAACATTATGGGACTGTTTCCATTTCCGTGATCAGCTATATATACGAGTTAATATCTGACGTCGTATTAGCTAGTATATGATGTTTATCGCGATCGGACAACGTAGTTCGTCACTGCCTGTTCAAATGTGTGTTATAAGTTTATAATCACAGGTTGTATCTTCAAAACGTCAACGCCAGAGGATAATTACTCTCCATTATCTGCCGAGATAGATACCACTGGGCGTAAGAGGCAATAAGAGGCGTTATATGACATATCAAGTGATGTTATAACATGTTAAGCAATGCAAAGTGACCACTCCGTGGACGTTTGCGTCACCAAAGTGGTGAATGTTTCAGACCTGTATAATATTGGATTTCCCTCCTATATTAAGCAGACACTCTGTAATATATTGATAGGAGGAAAGCATCTGCCGTTCTCAGCATCCGGGCGGTTTCTAGTGGCTTCGTGGTGGATCTTCTCTATCGTGATGTCGGCGACCTACAGCGCCAAGCTGATCGCTAACCTCGCTGTGCCCAGGGTAGACAAGCCCTTCAGTTCCACCAGGGAGCTTCTGGAGAACACAGACTACAAGTGGGGCGTGGTCGGGAAAAGTTCCACCTACTCTCTACTCTCGGTATGCATTACACACCACAACTACACAATTCGTTGGGCGTACGAGTGGCTTAGTCATCTCACCCGCTGTAATTGGCTGATCAACGGGTACCAGGGAAAGATACCCTGAGTATGATCCTTGGTTTGTTAGTACCATCCGTCACTTTGAGCTTTCCTTCCTTGTTATGTGTTCACAGCGGCAATGAGCCAAGCCAACCAACTTATCACCAATTATTTAATGTAGGCACACACACACATGTTAGATTTGATCTACGGAAATTTTAACGTTTTAAAACCTGAAACGACTCTAAATGACTCTAATCAATCAACACTTAGCTATGACTGTCGTATCTCCTTTATGCTTTAGCTCAACAAAAATAGCTACGGATTATGAATAATTTTGGGTATTTTTTCATACCTAATTTGTTTTGTTCACTAGATATATATATATATATATATATATATATATATATATATATATATATATATATATATACTAACTAGCTGTATCGTTACGATTGCTTTCTAAACATGGCACTGGTATGGTGTTGGTGTACCGTATATTTCAACGATATTTCCCGTGCTCCCAGATATCCAAAGATTCCGACATTCAGGAACTTTGGAAGAAGATGGTTATCTTCAACAAGACCGACCCCTCCGTGTTCAGCCGCAGCATAACCGACCACATTGAGAAAGTCCTGACGGAACCGTACGCGTACGTCATGGGCCACGACAAGCTGGGGAACGGCACGGACTGTAAGGTTACCTTCCTGAGGGAGAAGCTGTTTGAATACAGCAAGGGGATGGCCTTACCACAAGACTCACCCCTCAAGGAGGACTTTGATAAAGTGTGCGTAGAGTTTTATTGTTCCGCTGTGCGTGTGTTCGCGCGTGCGTGTCTTTGTGCGAGTGCGCGCGTGCGTGTGTTTGTGTGCGTTTGTGTGTGTGTATGTGTTAGTTTGTATGTGTGTTTGGGAGTGTGTGCGCGCGCGCGTGCGGGTTTGTGTGTGTGCCTGCGTGTGTGTATGTGTTAGTTTGTATGTGTGTTTGTGAGTGTGTGCGTGTTTGTGTGTGTGCCTGCGTGTGTGTATGTGTTAGTTTGTATGTGTGTTTGTGAGTGTGTGCGCGCGTGCGTGTTTGTGTGTGTGCCTGCGTGTGTGTATGTGATAGTTTGTATGTGTTTGGGATTGTGTGCGCGCGTGCGTGTTTGTGTGTGTGCCTGCGTGTGTGTATGCGTTAGTTTGTATGTGTTTATGAGTGTGTGCGCGTGTGCGTTTGTGTGTGTGCCTGCGTGTGTGTATTTGTTAGTTTGAATGTGTGTTTATGAATGTGTGCGCGTGTTTGCCTGCGTGTGTATTTGTTACTTTGTATGTGTGTTTATGAGTGTGTGCGCGTGTGCGTGTTTGTGTGTGTGCCTGCGTGTGTGTATTTGTTAGTTTTGTATGTGTTTGTGAGCGTGTGCGTGTTTGTGTGTGTGCTATGACAGATTAACTATAGTAATATGAAAGAATCAGGTTGACCTTAACTTGGTTTGAGTAGTATACATTACTCCCCGTGGGTACCAGGGTTAGATTGGGTCCTATGTCGTAAAAGTCAACTAACTTGGCTGCGGTTGTCGGGTACGGTGACATGGCTCGTTGCGTGTCAATGCACCCCGACTGCATAAAACGTTATTCATAATATCAACCCTGGTTTCGTGTGACCCATACTCAATTATTTACAGTCCCCTTAACAAAAGCTGGAATATTGTTGACAGCGGCGGAAGTTGACAGACAATACATCCAGTAATAACATTGATGTACGATACAGTGTATCGATGCTCCTGATATCAATCACTAGATTGTCTGGTCCAGACTCGGTTATTTACAGACCGCCGTCATATAGCTGGAATATTGCTGAGTGCGGCGTTAAACAACAAACAAACAAACAAACAAAACGATACAGATTAAATCAAGGATTAAGAACGCCAAAGCCATGTGAGTCACAATGGCTGTTGAGTATTACCTTCGAATGTTCATAAGCATGTACCGTATGTACTGAGTTGATATGTGTGTACGCTGATGGCGCGCTTACCGTCGATTACTGCCCTGACCAGAATATCATATCGTCGGTCCCTTACTTAGTGCATGTTTTAAATGTTCTGTACATGCATATTTACTTATATTTTGTAGAATGATCCACTTATCCGAGACGGGATTTCTCAACCGCCTGGCCAAGAAGTGGATTATATCCGACGGGCAATGCCTTGTGGGAAAGTCGGCTGCTACCGTTGTGACGTTGGAGGACATGCACAGTGCCTTCTACCTGCTGCTGGCGGGTTTCGGCGCCAGCTGCTGCATCCTCATCTTTGAATGGTTGTATCGCATGATGCAGTCTTACCGATTTGAAAAACAAAAAAAGGATTTTGCCATAAGTAGCCAATGTAATCCTTTATTATGTTATTGATTGCTCATAACTACTTGTGCCTATGTATGATTCTTTAAACTAATGTATACACGGGAAACAGTTCTATATTAACAGACATATGTATAGTACAGAATACCCCTTCTGTAATGACATCGATTATCATGCATTGTAGATGTACATGATTTCAGTTGTTGTGTTAGGTTCATTGCTGTTATCTGTTTTTACTGTCAACTGTCTTATATAATTTTCTGTCAGCCTATTCACGAAGCTGTCTCTGCGCTAGGATTGTCGTAATTGTGTCGTAGCGAAACAAATCTTAACTGAGTCCACCATTCTCGATGCTGTATTAAAAGTAGCGCTAAAAGTAGGGTAAGATGACCGACAACGGAATGTATGTTGAAGAAAACGATTCGGCAGTAGGTGTCTACTGTATCATTTCTAACTATAAACCCAACAGCTTTCCACTTGCACTTTCGAAACGCGAACAACAGATACCAGAAAACAATCCACAAACATCGCATTTACCGATTATGACTAATGCCTAACAGCGAGTCGATAACAGAAACACTAGCAACATGTTTGCACTGATATCGTTATGACCGTGACCTTGTCTTGGCAAGGGGAGTTAATTATATAGCGAGTGAGAGTGGTTTCCCTTTGACTACTAGTATGAAATATGGTGTCGATTTTTTAGATTTAGCGGTCACCGTTTCTGAGATCTTGACACAGAGGGTCACCGTTAAGATATTTTTTTAAGAGATTGCAGTTATATCATATTTTCAAGGGTGTTCGATGCAGTCTATCTGTTTTTGAAAATTGTCCATACCGATACAATGCACACAGTTCTTGTCCTGGTAGATGGTTTCCCTTTTGCGCGATGTAAGCTCATACAGTTAAAGTTTCCAGGAGATTACTTAATCTTCAAGGACGTCACAAGGAAGGCCTGGACATATAACAATGAGAGTGAGTGAGTGAGTTTGGTTTTACGCCGCTTTTAGCAATATTCCAGCAATATCAAGGCGGGGGACACCAGAAATGGGCTTCACACATTGTACCCATGTCGGGAATCGAATCCGGGTCTTCGGCGTGACGAGCGAACGCTTTAACCACTAGGCTACCCGACCGCCCCTATAACAATGAGACGTACATACACACATGGTATTTACACAGTCATATTTCTTGTGTGAGTTTCAAGGATGAAATAGACATAACAAGGATGATTGTTAACTCGGGAACTTTCTTCAAGATTTATTATACCTTTTAGAAGATATGCACAAATAAAGTCTTCTATGTTAAATAAAATCTCTCTGGACATTTAATCGACCGATCATATTTTTACTTTACACTCTATTATAGAAAAGTGTTTGATTAAAAAGAGGAAAAAAACTATATGTTGCATTTACGGACTTTACGAAAGCATTCGACTATTCGAAATAAACTATGGTACTGTTTGCAACATAATGGCCTGGGTGGAAAAATGTTATCAGCCCTAAAAGCCAATTACTCTTCTCTTTAATCTTGTGTCAGACAAACTTTCTCATGTACCGATTTCTTTGACTGTCCAAATGGTGTAGGCCATGGTTGCATACTTAGCCCTTTGCTATTTTCTTTATTTATAGGGGAACTTTCAAAAGCTATAAATGAAAACGGTAAACATGGCTTACAATGATTTCCAGATATTCATGAAATTCTGTTACTGTTATTTGCAGATGACGTCATACTTGTCTCAGAATCTATTGCAGGTTTTCAGACTCCGCTTAACATCCAAGGTTTTTTTTCCAGATACATGGGGATTAACTGTTAACATGCAAAAATCAAACGTAGTTGTTTTCAGAAGGGGAGGCACGCTGTCTGCCAAGGAGAATTGGACATACAAAGACATCCCCCTGCCCATAGTTAACAGCTGTAAGTACTTAGGTGTAATATATTTTTCAACTTTCAAGAAGACAAAGTGTATTGCTTTGTATTTTCGCATGGTTTGGGATTTGTATGGTTAAACCAGTCTGCTGGGGACAAAATAGCTTTCAATGGGGTATTTAAAATGTGTTTTGTAGATGAATATCGTCAAAACTGGATGTCACCACTCAACAGTAGTACCCGATATGTAATGTATAAAGAATATATAACACTGTTTGGACCTGAACGATATTTGAGTATTTACAATAGCAAACATGTACGCAGTGTTTTTATTAAATTAAGATGTAATGTTTTGCCTTAACGACAGAACGAGGGTAGATGACAATCTATTGAATCCTATTTACGTATGTGTCCTGTTTGCAATATGTCTGTTGAAGATGAATTTCATTTCGTATTGATCTGTAAACATTATACTGAACTGCGTAAAGTTTATTTGCCAGAATTGTATTGGAAATTTCAAACTATATATAAAATCAAAAGTTTATTGTGTACAACTCAGGATGAGTTATTAAAACGCCTGCAATATTTTGTATATTATGCATATAAACAAAGACATGAAGTCGTAACATTCATGTAATGTGCTTCACATTGTATTATTTGCATTGCATTTCTTGTATATGGGCCAAAGGCCTACACACAAATAAATTAATTTGACTTGACCTTGACTGGCATTTATTCCAAAGGTTTTAGATTGTCCTTGTTATCGTTCACTAGCCTATGGAGAGCAGAGTCATCGCATGCAGCGGTCTGAAAGAATATCATAAACAATAAGACCGCCTCCGTGGTCTAGTGGTAGAGCGTCCGCCCGGAGATTGGAAGGTCCGGGGTTCGATCCCAGGCCGTGTCATACCAAAAGACGTTAAACGATGGGACTTGTTGTTACCCTGTCTGGCGTTCGGCATTAAGGGGCTAAAACAAGGACCGGTCGGCTCGGAGTCAATATACAGTGTCTGAGTGGGGTTTTCATGTTAAACCTCGGCATGGTATCTCAGTGAGCTAGCACTATAAATCGGCATCAGTCCGGACTATTACAAGAAGCCACACACACGAACACACACGCGTACATGCACGTCGCTATATAAGTGCAATAATCTTGAATGCGACGTTAAACCCCATTTCACCTCACCTCACCACATAAACAATATCAGTTGAACTCCTCAACATTTAGTGCATGCAAGATGCTTGTGTTCAGCATTGTTCTTTTCTGTAACGCAGTGCGCTCCTTTCGTCCTTACTTTGTATACAAATAATTTCGGAAATACTGCAAGTTGCAGGTATGTTCTTAAAACGAATGAAAAGAACGTCGCAAAATCGGTGACCCAATATTATGATCGCAATCGACATATTTGCAACGTATTTGCGACGCCCCACAACATGCAACGCTTCCTGAGCTACAAGCTTGCGATTTTTGCAACAATATTTACGCATATATTTTTTGTTGCATTTTCTTTTTCCTTCGGCATGTTCGTTTCGAAGTCGATATAATAATCTTCATTGCTTGCTAGATCTATCTATAAAGGACCACATCTTACGTTAATCTCCTTCAAAGAATCGATGACGTCTTTGGGAAACACCCAGTGGGTTTTACCCCCGTCACAAAAGAGCTAACTGTTGTAGCTAAGATTATGGTAGAATCTTTTGTCGCTAAGAATTGTCTTAGCCAAGATTCGTGAATAGTACTCCTCGTATTTAAGTCTATTAATTCCCCATATCACAAGAGAGACCCGAATACGTACCCCTAGTTGAAGACAGATTTTCATATTTTCCCTACGGTCCACCCGATTTGAGGTGCGGTGTAATTTGGTTTAGCGTCGCGTCCAAGATTATTGCACTTATATAGCGACGAACATGCACGTGTGTGTGTGTGTGTGTGTTAGTTTGTATTTGTGTTTGTAAGTGTGTGCGCACGTGCGTGTTTGTATGGCCTGCATGTGTGTATGTGCTCGTTTGTATGTGAGTGTGTGCGCGTGCGCGTGTGCGTGTGCGTGTGCGTGTGCGTGTTTGTGCCCGCGTGTGTGTATGTGTTAGTTTGTATGTACATTTGTGAGTGTGTGTCTGCTTGTACTAGTCCGGACTGATGCCGATTTATAGTGCTAGCTCACTGAGATACCATGCCGCAGATACCATGCGAGTTTAACATGAATACCCCACTCAGACACTGACTCCGATCCGACCAGTCCTTGTTTTAGCCCCTTAAAGCCGAGCGCCTGACAGGGTAACAACAAGTACCATCTTTTAACGTCTTTTGGTATGACGCGGTGTGAAGGTGGAGCCAAACAGTTCTCTTTAAGGAAAAACAACAAGCGATTTCCATTACCCTGCTATGTGCAGAAACAACAAAAGCCTTTACTTTCGTAATGATCGAAAATATATGAAAATACACACACACGCATTCAAATCGTCAAGAGTCCCTGTGGAAATGTTCCGTACACAAGCATGGGTTGGTTGATGAATGAGCTCTAGGAAGCCTTGACAATACGTACATACAATAGTTCTATGCCCAGCACAACAAAGGCTGATACGATGCCTACTATGAGGGTATAGAAAGCGCTCTGAAGGTCCTGTTCCGTGACTGGCCGAGTGCGTGACGTTGTTGAGGCACATGTGCTACTTGCCGACAACCATTTATCCTCTAGCTTCTGTATAATGCCTCGGTCTGTTAGAATCATTAACCTGAAATGAAGGTGAGTGAGTGAGTTGGGGTTTACGCCGCTTTTAGCAATATTACAGCAATATCATGACGGGGGACACCAGAAATGAGCTTCACACATTGTACCCACGTACGGAATCGAACCCAGGCCTCCGGCGTTATAAGCGAACCACGAGACTACCCCAGATCCCCTGAAGTGGGTGAAGTGGGTTTAACGCTCGTTTAAACAGTATTGGAGCAATATCAGCAGCGAGACAGGCCGCAGACGTTCACTGATTTGATGCATCATGTGGATTTATCGTTGAAAGACCAAGTTTCATAGTTGAAAGAATATGTGATATGAAAGCATAAGTCCCGTGAAATTGATTTTCAGCAACCCATACTTGTCATAAGAGGCGACTAACGGGGTCTGGTGATCAGGCTCGTTGACTTGGTTAATGGATGCCTTTGCATCCCAAATGCGTAGATTGATGCTCATTATGTCAATCACTGGATTATCTTGTCCAGATTCGATTATTTACAGACCGCCATCATATAGCTGGAATATTGCTGTGGGCGGTGTTCAACAACAAACAAACAAAATCGAATGCATTACCAGTGGATCTTTGCACGGCTAGGGGACACAGCTCTACAAAGAAAACTGTCAGGTCCATGGGCATAAATAGATTTTGTGCGGTCGGATCACGACATAACATTTACTATTTCTACTATTTGTGAGGCCTTCATCAACCATGAATAGAAACGGAAAAGGTATCGTACAGAAGTACGTAAATATTCACTTGTAAATATCTAAATATTATATCGTTCATTTTGTTTATTTTGTAAAAAAATGCACCAATGCGTTCCGGTCTAAATATTATGATGGAACACTACATAGTTGCTGTGGAATAAGTACCATGTAACAGACTTGTCTACAAATAAACGGACAAACCTTTTCGACTAATTTTGAGCATCCACCGAAAGAGATTCCAATTGGCGTAAAAGACAAACTAGCGGTGATAATTATGTCAATAGATAATTGAAAATAGGTTATGACACCAGGTGTTCGCGAAAAGGGTTCAATTCGGCATGTCCTGCCCTACCGGCAGAACCCGCCACTCACTATTTGCATAAAAAGTAAGTGTTTGTTTGTTGCCTGACGCGGCACAGCTGTACTCCTGTCATACGAAGGCGGTCTGTAAACAAACCAGACACTCAAACTTTGGACCAGAAAATCAAGTCACACAAAAGGAAGTCGAAGCTAAGTAAACTGACGCCATTGTAAATAACTATTAGCGTAAATATTCCATACCAACGCGTGGACAGCGGTATTGACGACATCGAATATAGACAACCATTCCAAATAAGGCTTTGTGTGTATCCATGCCATCCTTTGATCGTATGACACTGAGATATTCAATGCAATGTGTGGTTTCATTACTGATGTTTGAAAATCAATTCTCCGGCTAAATGTTACAAAAGGGTCATTCATTTGGTCTCTGCTTTGACGCCATGTACTGAAATACAATGTCATTAATACCACACGTGTTAGTTGTGTAGCTCTCACAAATCATAGATTTATAGCCGTCTTTAAATGCTGCCTCATCTCGTACCTAGCATCACATTGTGCGTTTATTCGACTAATGATTCTGCTGCTTATAAACTAAATACAGAAAACAATGTCTAAGAAATATGTTCGTTTTGTACGTTCGTTCAAAAGCCACTTTACTTACAACTTATTAAAATCTGAAGCAATCGGGGAGTTTTTCGGCATGGCCAGACTTGCAGTGAAGACCGCTATCTTTTGTCCTAGGAAGTCCACGTCACAGCTCCACGGCGTCTCCTCTTTATACCGAGTGTAAACCAAGGCATACTCGCCGAGTAACACCCGATCCATGTGTTTGGAAACGTTACTACTTGTTACTGAAGGGTCGGTCTTGTTGTGCTTCATGATCGTGTGCCACAACCTCAAGAGGACATCATCTGTGGATTCCTGAGACAGATACAACTGGTGGTACATATTCCACAAGGGGTGATGTGTATATGTCTAGAACACTTACATGTTTTGTTTTGTATGTTTGTCTGTTTGTTAAAGCCGCACTCAGAAATTTTCCAGCTATATGACGGCGATCCATAAATAATCGAGTCTGGACCAGACAGTCCATTGATTGATATCATGAACATCGGTCTACACAATTGGGATACGATGACATGCTTCAACCAAGTTACCTATCCAGTTCTCCCGATCCAGTTATTCGCCTTCTACGCCAAGCATAATCGCCTTTTACGGCCTTTTACGGCAAGTATTGGTTGCTGAATCTACCCCGAATCTAAAAAAAACATTTGCTGCAAGTGGGGTCATTTGATTGGGGTTTATCAATGGTTGCTGATCCATCTTTATGCCACTCTCCCCATCCTTTTAGAAAGGTCAACCGGTTTCTCAAATCTCCTTTGACAGAGTGTAGTTTTGGGGACTGTCCAAAAAGCGATAATGTCTGCCGCCTATGATGAAATATACTGTATCCGGGGTAGAATAGGTCTTCAGCAACCGGTGCTTGCCGTAAGAGGTTACTATGCTTGGCGTAAGAGGCGACTAACGGGATCGGGTGGTCAGGCTTGGTGACTTGGTTGATGCATGTTATCGTATTCCAATTGCGTGGATCGATGCTCATGATATTAATCACTGGATTGTCAGGTCTAGACTCGATTATTTACAGACCGCCGTCATATAGCTGGAATACAACTGAGTGCGGCGTTAAACATACAACCAACCAACCAACTCTAACAGTAGTGTAGAAATTGTTTCACAGTTTGTATACGTAGCCATGTGAGGATTCGAACCTCAGCCTTCGGCTTGACGAGCGAACGCTTTAATATCTTGGTTACTCCAATGAGTCTATTAATGTAAACGTTACCGATATAAACTGCTGATGGGCTTCTCCCCCAACGATCCCCAACGTGTACTGCTCACTGTCCAACAACTCTGTGAGGGAATGGAAGGGAGTAGGCGTTTTAGGGACAGCAAGAGTAGCTATGAGTTTACCGCTGAAGATTGACGCCATGATCACAGAGAACAAACACCACGATGAGACCAACATCCGCCCGGACCCCGTTCGAGGAATAAGTCCACCTGCAGGAGGAGAAGTGTGAAGTCTTATTGAGATAATGTTCACTTGTAGGAGGAGAAGTGTGAAGTCTTATTGAGATTACGTTCACTTGTAGGAGGAGAAATGTGAAGTCTTATTGAGATAATGTTCACTTGTAGGAGGAGAAGTGTGAAGTCTTATTGAGATTACGTTCACTTGTAGGAGGAGAAATGTGAAGTCTTATTGAGACAATGTTCACTTGTAGGAGGAGAAACGTGAAGTCTTATTGAGATAACGTTAACCTGCAGGAGTGAAGTCTTATTGAGGTAACGACGTTAACCTACAGGAGGAGAAGTGTGAAGTCTTATTGAGATAACGTTAACCTGCAGGATGAGTGAAGTCTTATTGAGATAACGACGTCAACCTACAGGAGGGGGGAGTGAAGTCTTATTGAGATAAAGACGTCCACCTACAGGAGGGGGAGTGAAGTCTTATTGAGATAACGACGTCCACCTACAGGAGGGGGGAGTGAAGTCTTATTGAGATAACGACGTCCACCTACAGGAGGGGGGAGTGCAGTCTTATTGAGATAACGACGTCCACCTACAGGAGGGGGGAGTGAAGTCTTATTGAGGTACGAGAGCGTCCACTAGCCTTTTTATCAAAGTCTTGTTCCCACCTTTGTCCCACCAATCCAACTTTCCTGTGCTAAATATGATTGGACAATCGCACATATCAATAGAGAACAGAGAATGTTTCACAAAATAAACATCTACGACTGGTACACCTTCGTATGAAAGATATTTCCCGCTGCCTGTCTTTGTTGACACGAATATGTCTTTTTCATCTTTCCGCTGTGCTGATAGTGATTGTGATGTGTCTGGCTGATAGTGATTGTGATGTGTCTGGCTGATAGTGATTGTGATGTGCCTGTGCTGATAGTGATTGTGATGTGTCTGGCTGATAGTGATTGTGATGTGTCTGGCTGATAGTGATTGTGATGTGAATGTGCTGATAGTGATTGTGATGTGTCTGGCTGATAGTGATTGTGATGTGTCTGGCTGATAGTGATTGTGATGTGCCTGTGCTGATAGTGATTGTGATGTGTCTGGCTGATAGTGATTGTGATGTGTCTGGCTGATAGTGATTGTGATGTGTCTGGCTGATAGTGATTGTGATGTGTCTGGCTAATAGTGATTGTGATGTGTCTGGCTGATAGTGATTGTGATGTGTCTGTGCTGATAGTGATTGTGATGTGTCTGGCTGATAGCGATTGTGATGTGTCTGTGCTGATAGTGATTGTGATGTGTCTGGCTGATAGTGATTGTGATGTGAATGTGCTGATAGTGATTGTGATGAGTCTGTGCTGATAGTGGTTGTGATGTGTCTAGCTGATAGTGGTTGTGATGTGTCTAGCTGATAGTGGTTGTGATGTGTCTGGCTGATAGTGATTGTGATGTGAATGTGCTGATAGTGATTGTGATGTGAATGTGCTGATAGTGATTGTGATGTGAATGTGCTGATAGTGATTGTGATGTGTCTGTGCTGATAGTGATAGTCATGTGTCTGGCTGATAGTGATTGTGATGTGTCTGGCTGATAGTGATTGTGATGTGTCTGTGCTGATAGTGATTGTCATGTGTCTGGCTGATAGTGATTGTGATGTGAATGTGCTGATAGTGATTGTCATGTTCCTGGCTGATAGTGATTGTGATGTGTCTGGCTGATAGTGATTGTCATGTGTCTGGCTGATAGTGATTGTGATGTGAATGTGCTGATAGTGGTTATGATGTTCCTGGCTGATAGTGATTGTGATGTGAATGTGCTGATAGTGATTGTCATGTGTCTGGCTGATAGTGATTGTGATGTGTCTGGCTGATAGTGGTTATGATGTTCCTGGCTGATAGTGATTGTGATGTGTCTGGCTGATAGTGATTGTGATGTGAATGTGCTGATAGTGATTGTCATGTGTCTGGCTGATAGTGATTGTGATGTGAATGTGCTGATAGTGATTGTGATGTGAATGTGCTGATAGTGATTGTGATGTGAATGTGCTGATAGTGATTGTGATGTGAATGTGCTGATAGTGATTGTGATGTGAATGTGCTGATAGCGATTGTGATGTGTCTGTGCTGATAGTGATTGTGATGCGTCTGGCTGATAGCGATTGTGATGTGTCTGGCTGATAGCGATTGTGATGTGTCTGTGCTGATAGCGATTGTGATGTGTCTGGCTGATAGCGATTGTGATGTGTCTGGCTGATAGTGATTGTTGTGTGTTTGTGCTGATAGAGGTTGTGATGTGTTTATGCTGATATTGATTGTGATGTGAATGTGCTCTCTATCTGTGTCTCTGTCTGTCTCTCTCAAACTTTGTAACTATTTCTAATCTAATCTATCATATTTTATGTTTACCATGTTAATTACCTCTCTGACACATACATGCGTACATATGCCACAATGAAACAGCAAAAGACATCACAAAACCATGTGTTCTTCCTTCAGTCCGGTGCACGATGTAGGCCAAGATAGAGCTCACTGTGACTAGAGCTACCGCCAGGCATAAGTAGACCTTGGGGTGAAACAAGTCCAGTAAGAGACGCCATTTTGACATGGTCTGGTCGAGCCGTCTGAACGCTACGTCAGAATACTCATATGAGATAGGCGTGGATAGGAAGTCGATCACGCGCTGCCGTTCTGAGGACATCGCCAAGGGAGCAACCGTAAAATCCACTACCTGATAATTCAAAGAAATAGCATCAAAGGAATAGTATAATAATGACACTGTTTGGTCCTCGATAATAAAATATTTACATAACGTCAACGCGAAGCGTATAATCACCCTCAATTATCCGCCGAAACAGATTCCATTTGTTCATAAATACATAACGGTGAAACATTTATGACTGGGTCACTGAATATGAGTGATGGCATCAGGTGTTCGAGAAAGACATTGCTTTGGCAATGGGGAAATAATGTTGGTGATGAATAAAAATTTCTTTGAATAAACAATGAAGATTTTTATTATTTTACAAATGGCGCTGGACAATTCCAGAAAGAATATTTAGTGCTTGGGTCACGTAGTTCTACAATAATTACTAAATGTGGAATGGCATCTACTTCGCGAAATACCTCGGAGATTTCAGGGTACCAAGTTGAACAACAAGTTCATCCGACGGCCTCTAGGGTTTATTCCGCTTTATGTTGATAGCTCTAGTGTTCCGTCCCTTGGGCACGCCAGAAGCCTATGATTGTGGGTTCGAATCCCAGTTCGCCCCGATTATGTTTCTAGGTTTGTCAGCACCATACCCGTGCTCGTAGGTTTCACCGAAGTGGTAAACGTCTGAGACCTGCATCACTTCGGGCTTTCCTCCCACATTAAGCTGACACGCCGCGATATAACTGGAATACTGTTAAAAGCGGCGTTAAACCAAACTCACTCACTCACTCACTCTAGTGTTCACTTATGGGACACTCTTTACACAAATGTACTACGTCTTCCACGTACCCTGTCGATGAGTTGACGTACGATACCGTCCCAGTGGCCGTCGATCTCAACACCCCAGCGTCGGTCAGGAGGTTCCACTAAGACGTATCTGGAAAGAGATGTTGATGTGAACGATGCCGTGGAATACACGCACATCACCGTCCCGGCCAGGAGTCATGATGCTGCACAAGTGATGGCAGGACATTGCTCAAGTGATACTAATATCTCACTTAGGAAAGAATAACATTTTGAATATAATGCATTCTTCATCACTTGGTTTATCATGTTCCTCGATCGGAAAACTCATAATATAATAACAAGATTTTAAGTTACTCAGTTTGAACTATATAACAGTGCAAGTGTGAATATTTATAGGGTTATATTTCTCAAGTCTAAAGAATCCCTTCTTGACCCCCACTAGTCCAGGAACTCCCCTCGCTGTGGTCAGTCTCGGTCAATGGTATAAACAAATTTGCGCATGCTATTTCAAATGGCTACATATAAAGAAACAATAATATTCTTTTTGATAACTCAATTAATACACCATTTCCAGTGGGTTTGGATTTGTAACCAAAAGCGGTGACATACGTGAAATTAAGCAGGTAGGCCATTATGTCCAGCAGGTCTATACAGTGGCCTTTGTAGATGGTTGACCCGTTACTCTCTGACTTTATGATGAACTGTCTCCACTGAAAACAAAATCATACAAGTTCATATTGACATTGGGGGCACGGGTGGCCCAGTCGTCAAAGGCGCCGCGATTCGCTGTGCAGAGTTGCGTCCCTTGGGCACGCCAGAAACCTATGATTGTGGGTTCGAATCCCAGTTCGCCCTGATTATGTTTCTAGGTTTGTCAGCACCATACCCGTGCTCGTGGGTTTCACCGAAGTGGTAAACGTCTGAGACCTGCATCACTTCGGGCTTTCCTCCCACTTCAAGCTGACACGCCGTGATATAACCTGAAAGCGGCGTTAAACCCAACTCACTCACTCACTCATATTGACATGCTTGAATTGTTCGATTCCCTACATGGAACAATTAGTGAAGCCCATTTTGTGTTTCCCCTGGCATGACTATTGCTAAAAAGCAAACTCACTCTTAATATCCAAATAATGGGATAAAACGACAATTTGAATACGTTGTGTCATGTATTACATAATAATCACCATTTATTAGTTACTATTTTCGATTAAAGAGGATATAGCATGCACAGTCTGCTATCATCTAATACAAGTCAATACGTAGTTTGTTCTTTAGGATAATTTGAGCCATTGTCCTTGTACATCAGGGCAATTAACTATTGCCAGGTCGACGTGTGAAGTGGAAGCTCCGAGGCGTTGACTCGGTGTACACATTGATGGGGTATTAAGTAGTTAGCCACGTCCATGTTGACGACAAGAAATGTTTGTACATGTCTCTGACAGTGTGGTAATGGAGGTATTCAGCTATTGTTGCATCGATTTTGATGATAATGATAGGCTCGTAAATTAACCTGATGTATGATGAGGGTGACTTAACTCTTTACAACATAATCAAGTATGAAAGATATACAAGCAGTTCAAACATGTTGAAAGTCCGAAGTTTGCATTTAAATGTTCAAATATCCTGCCACAATAAAATTTTATACGTTGTAAGTTTTTAATTATGTTTTTCTGCACTCAAGAAGACTTTGGTCACATCAATACAGATTTGGCGGTGGGCCGTTGGCTAGACTAGTGGTCGAAGCGTTCGCCCTTCACGCTGAAGATCCGGGTTCGCCTCCCCAAACAGATACAATGTGGTACATTTCTGGTTTCCCTTGCCGTGATATTGCTGGAATATAGCTCCAATCCGCGTAAAACAATACTCACTCAATAGATTTTGCTCGTCCGCTCTTTACAAGCAAAACCTTTCATTCGAAATTAAACGTACGCATTCATTGAAAACGTAGATGTACATTACCTCCATCAATGCAACAGTTAACTGTCGCCCATTATATCCCGTAATGCTGTTGGGAAATATTTGAGCAGCCAGGGCGCAGTTTTCCCTGCACGTCTCCATGTTGACCTGGCGCCACTGTCGCCCCCCAGGGACCCACATCAGCGTGTTCACCTCAATATCATCCGCTGTGTGGTTCTGGCAGCACAAAGACAAAAATAAATAATCCCATTTCCATCTATTTGCTGAGGTGATTTTGGAGTCTGCATCATAAACCAGGAAAATCATGTGTATATTCAAGGGGTAATCCACTTTTGTGGATCTGTTGGCCTCTCGTTGCTCTCAGCCATGTTACTGTACACCTGTCTGGTTCTACACGATTGTTTACGGGCCGTCTTGATGTATTTGCCGATTACTGTGTAAAACAATGTTCCATCACTTGAAGACTTCGCCCAGCTACCCACCGCGGGTCAGCAGCTATAGTCAGCCATATCAAAGGACAGTGCAAGAGAATAACCAGTCTCCTTTTTAGTTTAAAAAATATTTTACTTCCATCTATGAAAATCTGGATTGGTTATCAGTGGATTGTCAGTACCGTTATTATGTTCCCTGGATTGTCAATACGTTTATTGTGTTCACTGGATTGTCAGTACCGTTATTTGGTTCACTGGATTGTCAGTACCGTTATTGTGTTCTCTGGATTGTCAGTACAGTTATTGTGTTCCTATGATTGTCAGTACCGTTATTGTGTTCTCCAGATTGTCAGTACCGTTAATGTGTTCCCTGGATTGTCAGTAACGTTATTGTGTTCACTGGATTGTCAGTACCGTTATTGTGTTCACTGGATTTTCAGGTAAATGGTAAATGCTTACGACCTGGAACCCCCTGGTCGTTTCATCCTCATTATGCTGGCGTGACGTCTTCTGTTCACGCCACTTCAACGTCCACCACAGCATCATTTGCCGCCTTTGGGACCCGATACACACAGTTGAATTCCACTGCAGACCGTCCGAGAACCGACCGACCAAGAGTTACCACCCCTGCACAGGATCGCTACATTCGACTGTTCCACCTACGTCATCGCAATGCCACAGCTACGGTGACTGCAGGACGCATCCCTGGTTTGAAGAGGATATCGGACAATCAGAAAGAAAGCAGTCAGAATCCATCTTCTCGAGACTTGAATCTGACCCAGAAGACCAGTTATCGTCTCTATTTTGCAACAGATCCATCGACAGCGACGCGTGCGTTTGTGCCATACCTTACATAATTTGAGAAACTGGAGACGAGTGTGGTTTAGCGATGAATCACGATTTCTTCTTCACCCGCAAGGTGGAAGACAACGTGCTTATCGTCGTCGAAATGAGCGTTTTGCCCAACAATGTGTAGGTGAATTCGACAATTTCGGTGGCGGTAGTGTCATGTTGTGTGTGTGTGTGTGGGGGGGGGGGGGGGGGGGGGCATATCCTACACCACGAGATCTGACTATGTTGTGGTGGTTCAGGGAAATTTGATAGCAAATTGCTACATGAATCAAATTCTTCAACCTTGCCTTCTTTCAATCTTGACCGCCAGAGGGAGCTGTTTCAACAGGACAACGCTCCACCGCGCACAGCTCGTGTCACGGTAGATTACCTTCATAGTCCCAACATCAACCCCTTGCTTTGGCAGACGAGATCTCAAGATATCAACCCAATCGAACACCTATGGGATGAACTCGATCGACGTGTACGTCAACGTCAGAACACGCCGCAGAAACTCTCACAACTAGCCAACGCGTTAAAAGCAGAATGGCGCAGAATTCGTACACTCATCCAGTCAGTGCCGAGGAGATGCAGAGCGGTGATTGCTGCCTGGGGCGGTCACACGAGATACTGAGTTCAGCGCAACCTTGTGGCCTTATGTGACATGACAATGAACAGTTTTCAATGCCTTTGTACAACGAAAACACGTGACTATCGAGCATCAAATTTTCATATTTTTATCTTTGATATTAAATTAAATATATCGACTTTATAAGGTACAATATATTTACTAAAAATCTACCTGTGCGTTTCTGTTTTTGAAGAGTGTAAATAATCGAGTCTGGATCAGACAATCCAGTGATTGACATCATGAGCATCGATTTACGTATTTAAGATACGATGACCTGCATCAACAAAGTCAGCGGGGGCACGAGTGGCCCAGCCGTCTGAGGCGCCGCGATTCCTGTGCAGAGTTGCGTCCCTTTGGCACGCCAGAAACCTATGATTGTGGGATCGAATACCGGTTCGCCCCGATTATGTTTCTAGGTTTGTCAGCACCATACCCGTGCTCGTGGGTTTCACCTAAGTGGTAAACGTCTGAGGCCTGCACCATTTCGGGCTTTCCTCCAACAGTAAGCTGACACGCCGTGATATAACTGCAATACTGTTAAAAGCTGCGTTAAACCAAACTCCCTCACTCCCTCACAACAAAGTCAGCCAGCCTGACCACCCGATCCCGTTAGTCGCCTTTTACGACAAACACGGCATGCATGGTTGAAAACCTATTCTACCCCGGATCTCCAAAGGGTCTCAAAGTGTTTGTCATTTACCAAGCCTTGTAGACTTTTCTCGATTTTGTAAATTAGATTGGCATTTATCGTTATTAGATTAACCGCTATTTTATTTGTCAACCGCTGTCACATACAAATCTGCTAACGGGCCTTGACGGGCATCATTCATACCATCAAATGCTTCATTTGCAATATACCTGCCATAAAGTGACGTAATACATGACATTGGTCACACTCATCTTACCGGGGCCCATATCCACAAATCGATCTTAGTGCTACGACTATTGTAAGCCTGTGTTAAAGTATCGGAGTTACGATCATCTTAGCGCTAAGATCGCTTTGTGCCAGTGAGCCCGGGAGTCGAATGCGTGGGCACGGTGTAAATCTAACTACCCCAACATAAGTTTTACAAGAATAACCGATGAAATTTGAATGTTTTTAATAATGTTTCATTATGGGACTTAACGTTCGTTTTTATACAGCTCGTTTAATCACGTTATTTGGATCACACGGTTCAAGGTAAATCATGAGCAATCCAGGGATCACTAAACTACACTGCGGGGCAAAAGAAAGTATACACTTGGAATTTTTTTGGACCAACAATTCCAAACGTTATCAGAACGTTACTAGGCTGAAAACAGTCGGTAAACAATGCAACTTAAGGTCCAAAACGCAACTATGATACCCATCCCAAATACATCACCATCGAATAACTATTTTTTGCTTGAGTCATTTTTAGAGACCATAAAAAAAAGCAAAAAAAACTTTCTATTGCCCGGCAGTTTCTATAAAAATAATACGTTTTAATTTGAAAGAGTACATATAAACACTATATTTATGTTTATATTGTGTATGAAGTGGTTGATCCAATCCAGACAACTTTCGTATGCTCAATAAACAAAACATGAAACCGGGTACATTCTCCAAATGATGTCTTTGATTACGTCGTGAAATCCGACATCAGCAACGTTGAACAGATTGCACGGAATTAACTGATCTCTAGAAAGAACTAAGAATTGAAGATGGGAACTGTACCACCTTTGATTTCTCTTTGAGAAACGGGGATATACCCGACTGACTGAATTTGTTAGGAGCAAGCATTTAATACATCGAACTTGCATCCGGCAAGACCTATTCCCATCCTTCGAACAAACACATGCACATTGTGTGAGTGACGGCGCGGGTGCGACCGGTGGGGCCTGCCCTTAGGACATGCTTACTAGAGCCGCGAACACCTGTTGTTTCTTTTCAGTGACCCATTCGCGCAAGTGTTACCGCTATTTTGCCTGTTACGCTTCATGGAATCTGTTTTGGCGGATAATCGAGACTGTTACTGTCTGACATGTGTATGTTGTATAATTGTCTATAGTGTGTTATACGGAAAATTGTATCAAACGTATATGGACTGGAGACAATAACGGTACTGACAATCCAGTGAACACAATAACGGTACTGACAATCCAGTGAACACAACTACTGTGTTTAAATCCAGTGAGCACAATAACGGTGAGAAAATCCAGTGAACACAATAACGGTTATGACAATCCAGTGAACACAACTACTGTGTTTAAAATCCAATGAACACAAAAACGGCATTGGACATTCAGTAAGCACAATAACGATGCGGAGAATCCAGTGGGCACAATAACGGTACGGAAACTCCAGTGAACTCAATAACTGTACGGAAATTCGAGTGAACAAAATAACAGTATCGAAAATCCAGTGAACACATTAACGGTATTGAAAATCCAGTGAACACAATAATCACACTGAAAATCCAGTGTTCACAATAACGGTACTAAAAATCCGGTGTGAACACAATAACGGTACTCAAAATCTGGTGAACACAATGTCGGTACTGAAAATCCGGTGTGAACACAATAACGGTACTGAAAATCCGGTGTGAACACAATGACGGTACTGAAAATCCGGTGCACACAATAACGGTACTGAAAATCCGGTGAACACAATGTCGGTACTGAAAATCCGGTGTGAACACAATGACGGTACTGAAAATCCGATGAACACAATAACGGTACTGAAAATCCGGTGAACACAATTACGGTACTGAAAATCCGGTGAACAAAATAACTATACTGAAAATCCGAAGTGAACACAATGACGCTACTGAAAATCGGTGAACACAATAACCATACTGAAAATCTTGTGTGAACAGAATAACGGTACTGAAAATCCGGTGAACACAATTACGGTACTGAAAATCCGGTGAACACAATGACGGTACTGAAAATCCGGTGAACACAATAACGGTACTGAAAATCCGATGTGAACACAATGACGCTACTGAAAATCGGTGAACACAATAACCATACTGAAAATCTTGTGTGAACAGAATAACGGTACTGAAAATCCGGTGAACACAATGTCGGTACTGAAACGCCAGAAACGTATGCCTGTGGGTTCGCGTCCCGGTTCGTCGAGATGATGTTTCCAGGTTTGTCTCCCGCCGTGAAATTGCTGGAATATTGCTAAAAGCGGCGTTAAACCATACTCACTCACTCACTCCAGATTTGTCAGCACCATCCCCGTGCTCGTGGGTTTCACCGAAGTGGTAAACATCTAAGACCTGCATCACTTCGGGCTTTCTTCCCACATTAAGCTGACCCGCCGTGATATGACTGGAATACTGTTCAAAGCGGCGTTTAACCCAACTTACTCACTTACAACATACAGTTACCACCTGGGTCTATTCTGAACAGGGATCATCACGGGGACTTTAAGTTTAACTTTCAATTTATATTTCTGACTTTAATGATGCTCGTGAGCGAATCCATACCCACCATTACAGCGAGGTTATCCAGTTGATTCCCCAATGACATCAGATCTGGAAATCCGTCAGACGACGCCATATAAGGTGACTCCATAACCAGCCATCGTGATTGACGGCGTGTATAAGTTATATGGCATGACTCCGTGTCAAGATTGTTCACCTGTAAAACAAAAGAAAAGAACAAATCATGACGATTCATCATTGAATGGGTACCCGGTAGGGTTTTGAATAACTTGATTTTTTCAAGTGAAAATCAAACACAGATTACATCATTCAAGAGGTATAGTTTCTTTTGCTCTCCAATTTAGTAACGTACCAAATAGTAGTCATGTTTTTTGTTGTTTTACGCCGCACTCAACAATATTCCAGCTATGTGACGGCGGTCTGTAAATAATCGAATCTCCTCAAGTGCTTGGTATTGGTATACGATGGTATTACCAATATTAACTTATGGTTCAGAAATCTGGGACTTTGAAAATTTAGAAATTATAGAAAGAATACATCTCAAATTCCTCAGACTTATCACATGATTAAGAAATTCAGCTCCTCGTTATATGATATATGGCGAATTAGGTAGGCTACCATTAAGAATAATAATTTGTAAACGAATGATATCTTTCTGGCACAAATTAACATATCAAACTGGTGTGTATAAACTTTCACAGCTGTTATATCAATATCTGTCAATTAACGGGAACAAGACTATTTGCATCAACAAATCCCTGGGTTAGATGTGTTATGGATATATTAGACAGTATTGGATTATCTTATGTATTTAACAATCCGTCAATCTGCACAACAAAGTGGCTAGTGTCAGAAGTAGAGCAAATACTTAAAGATCACTTTTTTCAGAAATGGAGAAGTGACGTTAATTCTAGTTCTAAAGGCTTATACTATAAACATTTAAAGGACATTCCGGTTCTCGATAAATATCTTCTATTGCCAAAACGAATAGCAATTCCAATACTACGATTTCGAACCTGTAATCATAATTTACCTAATTAGACTGGCCGATGGAAAAATATTCCAAAGGAAAATAGAACTTGTAAATTATGTAATTCCCCATCTATTGCTGATGAATTTCACTACTTATTCAGATGTAATTATTTTAAAAGAGAGAGGCGAACATTTCTCTCACCATATTATACTGAATGGCCAAATATTATAAAATTTGTAAAACTCTTATCAACAACAAACACACAGGATCTAAAAAAAATATCGAGATTTATTGTACAAATGTCCATTAGTATTAAAAATGCTAGGTAATCACATGTTGTTATTAATTGCCATCTTGTCTGCTTTTTGTACATATGCATAATTATTTATTGTAATGTGCTTTTGTACCACCTTTTGTACCACCTTTTGTGGTTTCTGAGAATAAACTGATTCTGATTCTGTGAGCAACGATCCACGCCGTAGAGGTACGACGACACACAATCAACCAAGTCACCGAGCCTGACCACATGGTCCGCCAAGTCGCTCCTTACGACCAACACGTTATGTACAGAGGAGCTATTCTAACCAGGAATCTCAACGGGGCGCCAAGGTATGAGTAGAATCCCTGAAAGCCAATTTTACTAACCACATCGATAACATCGGTGATGCAGATTCGGCCACAGATCACGAGGTAGTTGCGATGACGCGACTTCAGCAGCTGCACGTGCTTCAGAATGCCCTTGAGAAATGCCCGAGTTGTTTCCGGACCCACACGAAGATTGGCGTAGAGTGTGACGTCAGTGGATTCGAGAAGTTGAGACACCCCCGCTTCTGCGATGTACAAATAAACCTACGTGAGCATATCCACAGTCAACGTTGATTCTCATATTATATGTCTCACTTGGGATCAAATGATTCGGCTCAAACGTTCATCTATGGTCTCACAGAACCCATGTGCTGGTTTCCCTCAGGTGGTAACCGACAAAGACCAGGACTTTATTTCAACATTGACGTGACACGCCGTGGCATACACATATACTGGGCGGCGTTCAAGCCAACCCTCACAGCCAACACAGTATTGGACACTGCACAATTTAGCAAATTTTAAAAATGACATCCAAACTCAAACAGAGGGTGAGTGAGTTGGTTTTAACGCCGCCTTTAACAGTATTCAAGTTATATCGCTGCGTGTCAGCTAAGTGTGGGAGGAAAGCCCGAAGTGATGCAGGTCTTAGACGTTTACCACTTCGGTGAAACCCACGAGCACGGGTATGGTGCTGACAACCCTAGAAACATAATCAGGGCGAACCGGGATTCGAACCCACAATCATAGGTTTCTGGCGTGCCCAAAGGACGCAACTCTGCACAGCGAACAGCGGCGCCTTAGACGACTGGGCCACCCGTGCCCCCCCAAAAAAACCCAAACAAAACAACAACAAAAAACAACAAAAAAACAACAACAAAAAACACACAAAAAAAAACACAACAAAAACAAACAAACAACAAAAACAAAAAAACAAAAACAAAACAAAAACAAACTCAAACAAATATGTGGTGAGTGATTATGACTATGTAGAATCCTCGAAAGAGTAACCCATCAATATGATACAGAGATATATGTTGTGTACCTGTGTAATGATCAGTGATGATGGTCACGGACGTCCAACCCAGCTGCTGGATGATTCCGGAAGCAATAGCTGTCGACCAGGTATTGTGCAGTGGTTCTGAAAATATACGCATTTGTTTTGTTTGTTTGTTTGTTGTTTAACGCAGGGCTCCATGACGGCGGCCTGTACCTAATGGAGTCTGGATCAGACTCTCCAGTGATTGATATTATGAGCAACGATTCACGACGTCGGAGTCCGTTGACACACCATCAACCATGTCACCGAGCCTTACCACCAAATCCATTAACGACCTTTTACGACCAGTGCAGTATCTAAATGATTTCTACATACATAGTAAATAGGATTAAATACGTTTGCGAATCGCAACCTATTTGTTTAAAATACGCCACGTCTACATGGATTTTACCTTTACTGTAAATATGATGAAATACCGTTGGATATCGCATTCCTCGCGAACACCTGGTGTAAATTCTATTTGACAGTGATTCATATACACATGCTCATGATATAGTCGGAATCGTACAATCGCCTCTTCTTTATGCAGAAATTTCTATTGGCTATGTAAAGGGTTTTGTCGCTTTATTTAATTATTATAAAGATTGTTAATATACCAATGTAAAGTGTTGTATATGATGGGCACGGTATATGACACATGTGTATTCGGAGTAATATTATAATACAGACAACCTTTGCACACAAGGATATCAGCCGAAAGCCGTTAAAGGGTACAACACTGCTGCCGTGTGAAAACACCATTAATATGTTTGATGAGTTGTGACAGTGACGTCGCACGTTAACGTTGGACACCGTGACCTGATGCCCTTCTCCTTGTCGTCCTCTGGTTGTCATCTGTTAATGGGAATCCTTTCAGACACAGACCAGCAGTTGCTGATCAATACTGACTCGGAACCTCTTCGTTTTAGAGTCATGATGCTGATCACCGGATGGCCCATATGCAGTTATCACCGATAATGTGTCTTCAAAGCCGTACTAAACATTTAGTCCATTAGCATCAATGCTGCAAATGTTAAGTGGCCATTTGCAGAGGACAATGAAACAGTAGGAAGTGGAACCTGGAACATTACACCATATTCAAATATTCAAAGGATATATATATGTGTATGTGTGTGTGTGTATGTGTGTGTATGTATGTGTGTGTGTGTATGTGTGTGTGTGTATGTATGTGTGTGTGTGTGTGTATGTGTGTGTGTGTGTGTGTATGTGTGTGTGTGTATGTATGTATGTGTGTGTGTGTGTGTGTGTGTGTGTGTGTGTGTGTGTGTGTGTGTGTGTTATGTCACTGTGTCACATGTGGTGAATAAGGAGGATGTTCAATGTGTTCAAAGCCACAGTTATGCATTACTGGTGGTACAACACACTTTAGTCAGTTTTTCACCTCTTGGTGCCATAGTATTATGACGCAGTTGCCTGAGCAGATTAGCATAATAGTGGCCATAGTGGCCATGAATTATCTTATATTTGGAATCCTTTGGAATCCTTTGGAAAACCGAAGCCATCACCCGCCTTGCCAAGTGATAGAACAAACTTTGCTTTCTTCGGAGTAGTAGAGGTTAGATGTTTAGTAAGATGAAATAAATCAGTTATCTTGTAAAATCACAGCATGTACCATGTACATTAGACTCACGGAAAATACTATTTCAGCAAACCAATCGTAGCGCCATTATCACAGTTTCAATGACAGGAAAAACAAAATCAAACTATACAGCACATCGTATCCATAAGCGGTTTACCCAAGTGCAAAAAGGTATTGCTGGAATCATTGTAGAAGTTATGTTGATGTTTTCAGTAGTTGTATTATGTTTGTATCGCGTGTACCATCGACAGAAACGGGGGCCGAGTTACCACATGTGAAACCGACCTTGACACAATTTGTTGACAATATGGCGTCGACTCACATTAAGGACGACTCACACGGTTCGGCACCTCGAATCGAAATGCCGAATCCGACCGAGTCGTATCGTCTGAGTGATTAATCGAATTCGACAAAAGGGACAAATCGGTCGCTCGAACCCGCATCGATTGTGTAGCGAGTGGGTAGAGTCTGTTTTAGCTGTTCGGCAAGTTGGATGTGGCGCGGCAAATCAAATTGATTTTGGGAGTCACGTGCTGCGAAGAAACCACGCCTCGACTTTTCAAGAGAGGAAACCGAGGGTTTTGTGGCTCACTATCTGAGTGACGGAACCCTGTGGAATGTCTCATGCAAGGGTTATTCCAAAAGTGATAAGAGGAATGCTTCATTTACGGCGATAAAAGTTGTAATTCATCCTCAATTTCTAATTCTTCAAATAGATTGTTGTATGCTCCAGGCTTGTCGCGGCGGAGAATCCAGTCTTTCGTACAACAGCTTCTCTTTGTCTTCGCTTTTGCGTTGTCGTCTTCTTCACACAATATAGCGCAGCAGTTGACTGCTGCCACGTCTGCTTCAGACATTTTGATACCATTAAAACAAATTACCGCGAGATATTATGAGATCGACATTCAATCGGCCGATCAAATCGTTTGAGTGGTAGCAAATCGATTCGTTACAGCCACCGAACATGTTGTATTTTAACGGCATTTTATGATTATTTTCGGTGAAACTCATATTATGTGTATTTATTTAAAGCAGGTAAGAATCCGACCCAGTTTGGAGCAAAGCCAGGAACGCAGGAAACACATTGCAAAGCATTTGACTCCAAAATAAGAAAAACCGAATAAGGATAGTTGAAAAGAAAAGCATGTAATAAAGAAACAAAGTAATTATAGTATAAGCCAGGGAATAATCGATTTTTCCCCCGAAACAGTTTCCATTGGGCGTAAAAAGAGAAGAGCTGTAAAAATTATATAAATGGATCACTGAAAATCAGTTTTGACACCGGGTGTTCGCGAAAGGGATAAGCATGTTGGTTTGTTGTTTTAGGCCCCAATCACCAATATTCCGGCGAAATGACGGCGGTCTGTAAATAATCGAATCTGGACCAGACAATACAGTGATTGATATCATGAGCATCGATCGCCGCAATTGGGATCAATGACATGCTTCAACCATGTCAGCGAGCCTGACCACCCGATCCCATTAGTCGTCTCTTACGACAAGCATAGTCGCCATTTCCGACAAACATGGGTTGCTGAAGACCAATTCTACCCCGAATCTTCACGGGTGCCCTGCACTTCTGGCAACACCCGCCATTTCCACAATTGACATAAAAAGTACGTGTTTGTTTGTTGTTACAACATTACTCCTGCCATACGACGGCGGCCTGTAAACAGCCAAGTCTTGGAGCAGACAATCTAATGATGAATCAAACAATCCAGTGATACATTAGTGTGCTGATTTTGTTAAAACTGAAAACGATTTGTTAATTTAGATTTACGTCTGCTGCCTACAAGTGCAGATATACTGCTGCTTAAAAGTGATGCGAACCTTTAAGAAATGTCCTTTTGCAATTTAGAGGGGTAAAGTTTGAAACTCGCTGCCCAAAATTTTCAAACAATTTCTTTTTCTTTAATTTAGTATGATTTAGTATGTTCTGAAAAAAGTAATAAAATTGAATGAAATGTAATCATATAATTGTGACAAGTAGCAAAGGATGTTTTTTGTTTGATCGTTTATTAGGAACAAGTTGACTTATGTTGTACCACTGTTTCAAAGGTCCGCTCATTCATTTACAAACGGCATTAGTCGTGATGTACTTTATAATGAAACACGTTTCGAAAGAAGAATCAGTTTCAAAATGAAGACCTTTTACAGAATCAATACCGGTATTGCACCTGAATACCTCAGTGAACTAAATCCAACTCAAGTCCCCGATAATAACAATTGTAGGACCCAAAGGTATGCAAACTGTTTTCTTCCCATTACGATTGAACTGTGGAACGCTCTTCCGGAGAACTGTAAAGACGGTTGCCCACCTAGTCTCCAAAACCATCCGCAAGACCCTCAAGAACTCCGACCCCAGGCTCAAACCAGCTCCATCGCCCATCAGAATCACCATACCCTACCAAGCCCCTGTCACTTATCAGATTTCCCGCCTCATCGAGAACAAAACCAACATAGATGCCACCTTCTCTAGCGGCAAGTCCATCAAGACCCATCTACAAATCAAGTCAGAGTCCAACCCCCCGAGAATGTATGTACCAGATATCCTGCAACTGTGGCCACCAGTACATTGGAGAAACCCTTAG